ACATGTTTACCCAGACCAGTGACGTGCAATCAGTTGAGGCAGGGGAGGCACAGCCTCACCACTCCCATCATGAAAAGAAAAAAAAATGTAAAAGGAAAAAGGTGAGAGCTGAGGTCAGGCTGAGCTAGTTGCTGCCTCACCGTGGATGACTCTGCTTAACTGTTTAAAAAAGCCTCAAAAAAGCGCCCTCTACTATGAGGCAGGAGAACTGCGTGCATCACCTACATCAGGAATTTTTAGGCTTTTAACTCTTGCTTAACTCTGCTCAAGTAGTCATAAAACGCCTAAAGTCAGACGAAGATGAAGCATGCAGTTCTCCTGCCTCATAGGAGAGGGCGCTTTTTAGAGGCTTTTTTAAACAGTTAAGCAGAGTCATCCACGGTGAGGCAGCAACTAGCTCAGCCTGACCTCAGCTCTCACCTTTTTCCTTTTACATTTTCTTTTCATGATGACAGTGGTGAGGCTGTGCCTCCCCTGCCTCACCTGACTGCACGTCACTGGAATGAGGGTAATACCCTCCATATCTAAATAATAAAACAACTGTTCCATTGCATAAATGATATCTAATACAGCCACCTATATGTGTTATATCAAAGATTACCTGTCACCATGAATGACTGCAGCCTATCAGCTCCACAGGGGTGAGTTCCAGCTGGCACTACTATTGGTTCACTCGTGTGCATGCTTCATGTGCACATGCTTGATGGGCACGCTTGATGCGCACACTTGATGCACACTGACCATGCATGCACAGTGCAATTAAAATTGTTCTGCACATGCACAGAACTGAAAAACAAGATGGTGCTTCTGACGGCGCCAACTGGGGAACCACTTTGGAAGCGTGGTAGGCTAGGCCACCAAAACACTACCAGTAGGAATCCACCACTGAGCCCCACTTCACCCTCTACAGTTAACCAATTAGAGTAGGGGTGTCAACCTCACATCATCAAAGTGGTGTCACATGATGAATTGGGACTTTTTTTCCCTTTGCTTGACCAAGCATGGGCATGGCCAGCATGTGACACATCCAGCCCATGGGCCAGGAGTTTGACAGCCCTGAACTAGAAGATGAAACCATTAGCCCAATAATCATGTCCAGGAGTCCAAGGAGGGAGCAAGATGGTCAGTACACCAGAAGATCCTTAGCTTTTACCTAACTATAGACATACCCTTCCAGTTCAGAAACTGTCATAGACAAGGTGTCACAAAGATCAACCCTCCTTCCTGGGCCTGGATGATTAAATCTTCATAGAAGTTCTATGAACTTCATAGTTCATAGAAGACTCATTCATGCAGAGGAGTGAGCTAACTCCTCAGCTAGGACATGGGGATGCCTATTTTAATTACTGTCCATTGTTTATTTAGTCCTTCAAGAAAAAGAGCTGGCAAAAAGGATTATTTGAAAAAATTAATGTATGAATTACAAAATTATCTATGGTTGGCAATAAAAACCCACCCAAAGATGTCTATCCAAAGCATGGTTGTCCCAAAAGTGCTGTTCAAAAGGCAACTGGACTTTCTTAGTTTTTTTTCTCTTGAAAACATTTCACTTCTCATCCAAGAAACTTCTTCAGTGCCTTATCTTTGTGACATCCCAAACATTGATTGTTTGCAGGGGCTAACCCATGCCTACTATTGCTTATCTGGTTAATGAGAAAAAGATTAATGATGAGATGAAATTTGCCAATGCTGTTTCAGGTGAAAGATGATAGGGATTTTATATCCCTGGTGATGTTTCATACAGTTTTTAGTAAGGAAGTTTGATCAGGTTAAGGTCAACCAAGTTAATTGCTTTGTGGAAGTGTAGTCTAATAGGTAAATGGTCTGTATGACCATTAAATGGGGTTTAACTACATAACATTTCTTCTGCTTGGATCCTTCCCATTTTACAAATGGCTGAAAAATAGGCCTACATGTTGAAGTTGAGTTTCACTTCAACAAAATGCTTTGCATGTGGAAATGACACAATTCACTTATTTGGGGAGCAGAGGTGCCACACTTCTCCTCTTTGGGGCACTTCAGGTGACTTCATATGTCTGTTCATGTGCAGAAGCTAAGCGTTCTGTTTTTTCTAAGCAGTGGGAGTCCACCCTGCTTCACAATGAAAATTCTAAGCTTCACTGAAATGTAGCATCACTTTGAATCTTTGCACAGCTCTGCTGAAAAGGGCCTTGGGGTAATAAAAAAAATAGGGGAAGTTTATGATTTGTTGCATTTGCTTTTACTCTAGAATAAAATAAACAGAAAATTGTATCCACTGTCTTCTGCAGTTTTCCCCACCAAAACATTAATATAAGTGACAATTCAGATAACATAGGTCCAGCAGTATTAAAACAATCAACAGAGGATAAATGATGATTTGTTCATTGCAACATCTCATCCTGCATTCTTTTTTTTCTTCCTTACTGTTGAAAATTGGCCATTGACAAGCAGAAACAATTGATTTTTTCTTTTCTCTCTTCACAGCTGTTTTGTAATTACCTCCAAATGTAGTATGTATTCACTCAGCTGCTCAACAGAACATTCTTTCATCATTCATTACCACTGTTATTATAGAAGGACTCAGGCTCGCAAACTGTAGTTAGATGTACTCAGTTTCTGCTGCGTTTTGCATTGTGAAACCTCTTCACTCAGGGACATTATAAGTCAAATGTTATAAATTATATTAGTCTGGAACTTGGTGTACAAGCTATGAGAAAAGATGCCAACGGGAGGGATATTCTCCTGCTTTAAAAAAAATGTTATTTAGATCTGAGCTCCAGCTATTGTTATTATGCAATCCTCCACGGTTATTATTTCAGACATTATCTTTTGTTAGAGGCTCTGTGTTCCCAAATAATAAGCAGCAGATTGGCTGATAGTTTAAATGCATACATTGGGAGCTCAGGCCACAAAAAATTAGATAACTTGTATCTAATTTATTACAAATCATCATCATCATCATCATGTAGCATTTAGTCATGTCCACTTGCTTAATGCATGAATCCAGATTAAAGTACCATATATCAAGAGATGGCTGTGGAACTCATTTTTCGAAGAGAACTAGCACTTCCACAATACTTGGTTCAACCAGTCTTATCATTAGGAAGTTTTCCATAACTAGATTTGTTAATTTCCACTGCCCTCATTGCTCTGGTTTTCCTCACTTAAATTCATTCCAGCTTTGTCCAGAATTTTTAACCATGTCTTGAAGTATCTGAAAATAATACTCTTTCAAATATGATTCTTGTAGGTCCAAGTGAGTTCTACCCATTTGTTATTTTCATCTCCATTTTTCTTACATATTATTTTTTCCCTACCCTGTTTTCAAGGAAAATATTTGTTCACTTCAGAACAACTTCTAGAATAAATAAAACTGAAATTGGTTCAATGTCAGCACCATGAGGTAGATCAGACAAGGAATCAACTACACAGGAAAACGGAAACTATTTTGTGAAGAGTGGCTATAATAACAGAATCTTGCAGGTCTGATTGGGTTGTGTCTTCTCTTGTACTGATATCCACATAAATTAGGGATGTATCTGTCTGAGCTGCTTCCATAGACTTTCTACTTGTTTTGGACTTAAAATACATTTTTCCCCTTGTCACTTTGGGTAATAGAACCTGCCTATCTCTGTCAAAGCCATCTCCCTTATTCTCTACAACCAAAGAGTTTTATGGCTACAAGAAGATGAGATCATCTTTTCCTGTCATTCCGTTTTTCAAATAACTGTCTTGGAAGTTGCCCTACTCACAGTAACTGTGCATATCTTCCCAGAAGTCATTATCCAAATATGCAAAATAGGCAAGTATACAGTGTGACCATTCATTTATTTGTATCCTGCCTTTATTATTTTTGCAAATAAATCAGGATGGCAAACATATCCAGCACACTTTCCTGTTCGGATTTTCCTCACCTATGGATGAGTTGGGTTTTAACCATGTTAAATTACTCTATTCTGTGATAGTACACATATCACCACAGGGATTATAAAATCTTCCCTTCATATTATTTTGTATACCATCACAATGCAAATAAGAATGGGCAAAGGATGTTCCATGACATTGATGGCTAACCTTTTTGCCATTGCATGCCAAAAGCTCACCTATAATGTAATATGGGTGTGAACCCCTCCCACATGCCCCCATGCATGTGTGAGACTCCCCCATGTGTGTCCCGCTCCCATGCATGCGCACATGACCCCCATGCTCCCCCAGCCCCTCACTTGTGCACGACCTCCCCACGCTGCCCCTGGTCCCATGCATATGCACACAGCTTCTGCATGCACCCAGTCCCCCCACATGAGTGGCAGAGCCTCAAAAACCAGCTGGCCAGTGGGAGGTGCACCGCATGTATGATGAAGCTGAGCTGGGGTGACAGCTGGTGTGCCCACAGAGTGGGCTTTGCGTTCCGCCTGTGGCATGCATGCATAAATTCACCATCACAGTTCTATGATATCACAAGGAACATTTCATCATTTGGGCTTCATTATGAGGAATGACTGCAAAACACAATACTCAAACCACAATCTCACCTAGTAATGTTCACCTACCAATGTACGTGAGGAAGGAAGGGCTTTGAAGTATAGTGGAAGCCTTATAGTGAGACTCCTGTCTCTCACCCCAACAATGGGTAGTACACAGAGGTGGGTTTCTGACAGTTCAGGCCGGATCAGGCGAACCGGTAGTCGCAGCGGCGGGAGGCTCTGCCCACTCTCCCTGATGCCTCTGTGCATGCGCAGGAGCATTGCAGGAGCGTGCATGCACGAGCGCACACACACAAACAAATCAGTAGTAAAACAAATGGAAACCCACCATTGGTAGTACAGTATGTCCAAGACCCATTAAAACACAGGCGCTCCAGCTAAGATTTATATTATCTAAAAATTATTTCAAAACTTGCATATCTACTGATAATTATGTCATTTTTTTCTTACCTTTGTTAACAAATGCTTATTTACTGTATACATATTAAAGCATGGCTAAAAAGAACAAAAGCATGAAAATAAATCAGACATGTTTATTGGCTTCCTTAATTTAGCCATATTTTGACAATTAAAAATTGGAGATGAACAACAACCCTACTTCTGAGCCTCTCTGAAGCATCTGGTGCTAGCTATGGTAAACAAGTTGCTCCGCCAGAGTTTATAGTGTGTGGCAATTCTTGTGCTTCTCAGGCTATTTTGATCATCCTCTTTTAGTGATCATAATTCCACTCTACAGTTTCCTTCCCTAGAATAGCATGTCATTCAGCAAAGTTCTGATCTTTGAAATGTACAGAGTCTCTTTCCTGGAGATAAGAGTCTTTGCATTAAGTACTTTGATGGATTCACCACTTCACATCCTATTTTCTCTATTTTTCTATAAATTCATATATCTTTTTGTCCCCAGTGGAAGGAAGGAGGGAAAGGAAGAAGGAGAAGGGGGGAGGGTGAGAGACAAAGAGAGAGAGTTGAGGGCCAGGGGTGGTTTAAAAATATGAAATATAAATAAAATTAATATTTATAAGTAATAATATTAACAATAAGAGTGTGAAGTTTTATCTTATAGCAGCTTTTCCTACAGTTCCCTCACACATTCTACAAAGCTGCTAATGGGACAAAGGAATCATTCAGGGGAAAAAATATTTTTAATTCAGGACACTTCAATCAAAACCAATTCTGAGTTCCTCATATTCATAAAATTAGGTTACTTTTTTAAAAAACACAGTTTCTGAAGTGGCTATGGGCAAGCCATCCCCTACACCGTGGAGCAGTCATAGTTTCCAAATTCTCCTCAACTGTAATTCCATGCGTAGCACATTGCAATAATTCAATCAGAAAGTGACTCAGGCACAAGTCAATTATGGGTTGTGGGAGTGTAACCTCTTCCAGAGCCAAAAATAGTACCTCCCTAGAATCAAATTGGTTTTGAATTCAGGGCCATTATATATTTCTGGAATTAAGCTCAACCTGTTCCTCTCAGTAAAATCAGCCAATAAATAAGATTCTAGTAGTTTGTCGTCTCTAGTTTCATAGAATAACATCTGATATAAAATGCTCATAGAATATAGTATTTATGTATTTCCATTATCAGCCTTGTTCTGTATGATCCATTCCCTGCTATGTTGAAGGAATGAATTAAGCCATTTATGAATCACTTCAGGGCATATTACTAAAGGGGATGTTTCTAAAACTTGGCAACTTTAAGATGTGTGGACTTCAATTCCCCGAATTGGATGACTGGGGAATACTGGAAGTTGAAGTCCATACATCTTAAAGTTGCCAAGTTTGAAGAATAGTATTCTAAAATGTACCTTAGTGTTTCTGTATTTTTTTTTAAAATCCTTAATGCCCTTATACTTTTCCCACGAATATAGCATTGAAAAACAATCCCTTCATATTTTCCTGTTTTATTTAAGTCACCGTGCAGCCTTCTGACATTTGGATGAGTTAACCCATCTAAAATCTGTCAGACAACCAGTAGGGAAATATGCTCCTAGCATTTTATTGTCCTTGCATCTTGACATTGATAGTGAGATGCATGCTAAATACCTTTCACCACCTGTCTGATTGAGTTCTAAGGCACTGTGCTAACTTGAAGCGCATACTTAGGACTCGTATTCATACCTCTACACTTGCTACTCAGCAATGAATATGATATGCTAAGCAAATGAGAGTGCTTCAAGTAATACAGACGTCGTACCAGAGGCCGTGAATGTCAAATTTGAGAAGGTACCTGCTGAAGGTTTAATCACTATAAATGAATACATTAAGGAATATCACAGATGAATTGGCAGGAAGCTAATTGAAATACAGATGGAGTCTTTCAGTAATGTACTGGGAAAGTGTACCAATATGTTTTAAGAACAACTTTTAGAAAATATGTTGTTTCATCAATTTACTGGACTTTTGAAAATCAATTGGCCATCTCTTGGCTAACATCGTTATTAGCTAATTACATGAAACGCCTTTATCAACAATACGTTGAAAGGTTATGGATGAAAATTAGCATGAGGTGTAAGTAAGAGTCATGCTTGAATGAATGATTATAGGATCTGATACAAGCTTCGCTGATATCTTTTCATTAGGGAGATTATTCCTCTAGAAATTCAATCATTTTAAATATATTCCATGATTTGAAACATGTATAAACAGTCTGCCCTTCATCATTAAATTTCAGAGCAAGCCTAGCCTATCCAAAGCGACAAAAAATAAAATAAAAGACGCTCCAAGCAAACATAGTGGTTCAGAAAATGAAATGATTGAAATAACTAATTCAGTAAGACAGACCAAAAGTTTAAAAAAAAACCAACAAAAAACCCAGGTAGATTAATCTTAATGTGAGATGAAGGGGAGGGATCAAAAAGTCAAATGTTGGCCAAGAAGCCCTGTAGCAACAGCACTTAGATTTACGGCCTCCCTAAGCAGTTTACAGAGTCAGCATATTGCCCCCAACAATCTGGGTACTTTTTTACTGACCATGGAAGGATGGAAGGCTGAGTCAACTTCGACTCAGTCAGGATCAAACTCCTGGCAGTGTGTTGAATTAGCCTGCAATATAGTCTAACTACTCCATCACCACAGCTCCTATACTTTTATTCCATTGTACAGTTACATCCATCTTGCCTTTACTCCCCCACCCACCCCCAACCTGTACATATGATGAACTAATAATATGTAATGCATGAGTAAAAAAAAACAACATGTTTGACCGTTGCCTTGAGTTTAGTGAAGTTGCTGCAGAGAAGTTCTTTGAGAAGGGCTTTCCACAGGACATTCTCCAGTTGGAGACCCTCCTCACTTCAAAAGAAGCAATACATCTGCTTGATGCATGTTGCAAAAAGTCTTTTGTGCCAAATATACATGCACAAAGGACTATATGCTCCCAGTGGTCTTACTGACCATTAATTGATATAAAAGAGAGGATAGGACTCACAAGGTCTCATGATTCAGACAATTAACTCATATTTGCTGAATCAGTACAGTAAAACGTACACCTTCTGGAAACCAGCAGTGAAAAGGGCCAGCACTTGCATGTCCTTGCAGAATTTCTTGATGCACCTGGTTATTCTGCATCTCACACAGAAATTAGAGCAAATGGGCCTTTGGTATGATCCAGCAACCTCTTCTTATGTCCACAACTGCAATATGTAATATTGAGTGGTATATTTGGGAATGAATTTCAGACATGGGCAAATCTAAGCAGGATCAATGTTCCTTTTACTTTCAGAAAAAATCACACACACTCATATGTTTCTTTCCCACATTCCAACACATCCTTTCCCTTGGGCTATCCTGAAGAATTAATATATCCATATTAGTGGTGGGATTCAAAAAATTTTACTACCCGTTCTGTGGGTGTGGCTTGGTGGTCGTGGCAGAGGAAGGATACTGTAAAATCTCCATTCCCACCCCACTCCAGGGGAAGGATAGTACAAAATCCCCATTTCCTCCAGATCAGCAGGGACTCGGAAGGCAAAGAATAGATGGGGGTGGGGCCAGTCAGAGGCGGTATTTACTGGTTCCCCAAACTACTCAAAATTCCTGCTACCTGTTCTCCAGAACTGGTCTTGAAGAGTAAACAGAAAAAACACAGTTTACTATATGCAGAAATCCCATCTTAACTAAAAAGTTTGAAATGGAGGAATCAATTAATGCAAGTTTAGGCATCCTTCTTATCTGCCATCCTTCCATTTAAATGAAACTCTGGCTGCTGTGTGAATTACACATACATAGGATATCATAGGGTATTACAGCATTTCTCAACCTTAGTAACTTTAAGACATGTGGACTTCAACTCCCCAAATCCCCCAACTACAATAAAAATAAAATAAAATATTGAAATAAGTAAATAATTATTTTGGAATGGACCATGAAGATGCACCTTCTTCCTGACCATCGTGCGCTTACTGCCTACAATAGCTCCTAACAACAGATTCAGTGGTGGGTTCCTACCGGTTCAGACGGTTGGGCCAAACTTGTAGTTGTTGTAACTGCAGCAACCCAGACCTGCCACGCCCCCGAACTGGTTCCCTAGTTGGCGCTGCCATCTTCACTGTGCACGTGCAGAACAATTTTTATTGCATTATGCATGCACATCCAGCATGCATCAAGCGTGTGCGCACAAGTGAAGCGTGCGTGCAGCACCACCCACAAGCAAGCCAATAGTAGTCCCTGCTGGAACCCATCCCTGAACAGATTGCTAATTTATAGGGAAAGAAAGAAAAGAGTCCCGGCAAATTTTACTCTAGTAGTCATTGCCAATTATTGGGGGTGGCACTCATCTCTGTTTCAAGAGTTTAGCCAGTCCAAAGACGTGTTTATGATCATGTGGCCAGTATGGCATTGTGGAGCACTGTTTCTTCCCCACTGAAGTGGTACCTATTTATCCACATGAACTATCATGATTTCAAACCGCTAAATTGGCAGGAGCTAAATAAAAATGAGTGCTCATCCTATCACACGATGCTTGGGTCTCAAACTTGGGCTGTCAGCTTTCCATCTGACAAGCCCAGTGTCTTAACTGCTGAGCCATGGCACTGCCCAAATTTATAGGGAGAAGAACTGGAAATGTAGGGTGAACCATAATCAAAATATCTAATGGTGCCATGTAACCCATAAATTGCTAATCTATAATGCATTAGATCATGAAAGTATCAGCAAGTACATGTTTTGTGGAATTGTAGGCAATCTGTTTCTTTCCAGGAATATCTGCAATTACAAGAGTGCCATAAATCCATTATTTCAAGAATAAGCAAGCTGTTTGTAAACCAACTGTTTTCATGCAAAGGATAAAGAGTCTGAGGATTCTCTTACATATTCTCCATGACTCCTTTATGATATAATTTACAATAGCCGCCCTATGCCATTTTAAACCATACGTGAAAAAATTATATTTGTGTAGCAATCAGAGTGGTGAGTAATTCACATTCAACTTTGTTTTGAATCAGTTATTTGATGTCATAATGTTAATCCATGAACATGTATAAGCATGAATCAGAAAGTTAACATATTATATTCTGTTTGTGGGTGATTTTCCAGACTCCTTTCATAGTACACCTTAGCATACCACAGATTCCTTCTGCTTTCTGTGTGTCTGCTTCAGAAAGACTATATTTTTTGTTTTTTTCCCCTTAGCCATTGATAAAACAAGTCCCATATCTTATAAAATTGTTCATCCTCTTGCTCTCTAATTTCAAATGTCAATTTACTCATTTCGGCACAGTCCCTTATTTTTAGAATAACTTCTTCCTCTTTTGGTATTGTTTCATTTTTCCAGTTTTTTGCAAATACAATTCTGGCTGCTGTTAACACGTTTATAATCAAATATTTTAAGTCTTTGTTGTAGGTTTCTGGTAAAATTCCCAATAAAAAGACCTCTGGTTTAAAGTCTATTTGTTTGTGTATCATTAAGCTTAGCTGTTTCAATAGCCTATTTTGGACAGTGAGGAGATAAAGAAAGGATTTAATTGCAAGTATAGCTGTAGTGTTNTGAAAAATCATCATAAGCAGGGGTGGTCTGCTGGGGGTTCGCGCAGGTTTCGGGGATCCTCTAGCTAGGATTCTGCCCAGTTCAGCCAACCCCCCAAATGCCACCCCTGAGTATCCACGCGGCCCGTTCATCATGCCAGATAAGTGCAGGGCCTGCGCGGGGTGGGGGAAACGGGCCTACCGGTTCCGGAAGTCCATAAACGGGCCTGTTTCCGGCTTCCGGAGATCCTCTGGAGCCCGGGGGAAGCAATTTTCGCCCTCCCGGAGACTCGAGGAAAGCCTCCGGAGCCTGGGGAGGGTGGACATCCCCCCCCCCACATTGTGGTGTAGGAAGCAGACCAGGCCATGGCCACCATATAGCCACGCCCACCCAGCAAGGGGGCAGCAAATGCGACCTTACCGCGCTGACATAAGCGCGAGGGCAAATCCGCGCCTTCCGAAGCACTCAGCCTAACCTGACCCTAAACCTAACCCTAACCTTAAACCTAACCCTAAACCTAACCCTAAACCTAAACCTAAACTTAAACCTAATCCTAATCCTAACCCTTACCTTAATTTAAATCTGCTTTCTGCCGCCGCGCTGTTTTAAAGCGCCCTTCTGTCGCCGCGCTGTTGTCACCGCGGTGATGACGTCGCGGCTTTAGCGACGCGGTTTTATCACCGCTATTTTGATGAGCGCGGTTTTGTCGTGCCATGGGTATTCTATTGCGAGCAGAGTTTATTATTTATAGGTTTGTTGAAACCTCTAGTAACATCCTTGCCAAAACTTGAACCAGTTATCTTTCAAGATTGTTGCATGAAATGTGTAATGCAACAATAATCAGTTGCCTTCTACTGTACTAGAGTGTATCGGAGTCGGGCAGCATTTATTAAGAAATAAAAATACTTCGAACAATTTATATGCGATTATACCTTTAACATCATCCAACAACTGCACTTCTTCCCATGTCTTAGGAAGGACTCAATAGGTGGACAAAAATGTTAGATCCAGTTCTAAACATTTGGCTGACTGTGATAACCTTAATAATTAGGGTTTTACTGTTGTAATCTGCTTAGAATCTATGATTGAAGCAACATGTCCTAAATAAGGAGGATTAAATTTTATGCGCTAATTTGTCTTGTATGAAAGCTTGTAGAATTAAAGCTGAAGGTTGTTTACAGTGTCCCTCAAGTAATTATATCAATCTTTCAGATAAGCGCGTTGCCATGCCATAATGCAGGGCCGTATTCCTGTAAAAGAGTCTGTGGAAGGTGGCTGGATTGTCAGAATCATACTTGCCTGAAAGAATGCCACACAGTTTCTGAAAACGATGCCGGCAATGATAGGCAAAAGGTAAGTAATCTTTTTCAGTGGCAAACACAGTTGGCTTCATGATAAGGCCACAGCTTTTTATAACAGGTGCATTACATTATGTTAGGGGACGCGATGGCTCAGTGGCTAAGATGCTGAGTTTGTCGATCAGAAAGGTTGGCGGTTCGACGGTTCGAATCCCTAGTGCCGCGTAACGCAGTGAGGTCTCGTTACTTGTGCCAGCTTCTGCCAACCTAGCGGTTCGAAAGCATGTAAAAGTGCAAGTAGAAAAATAGGGACCACCTTTGGTGGGAAGGGAACAGCATTCTGTGCGCCTTCTGCGTTTAGTCATGCTGGCCACATGACCACAGACACGTCTTCGGGCAGCGCTGGCTCTTCGGCTTTGAAACTGAGATGAGCACTGCCCCCTAGAGTCGGGAACAACTAGCACATATGTGCGAGGGGAACCTTTACCTTTATATATATGCTGCATGCAGCCCCACGATGTAAAATTCTTCCTAATAGTAATAAAATTTGGGATAATGTTATTCTTTCTTGCTTGTTGCATAGTTGTGGCATCAGACAGAGTATAAGATGCACCTTATTTTGGGGGGAGGAAAATAGCGGAAAAAATCTATTTACCAGGTATTCATTTTTATTCCCATAATACCAGAAAAGCAAGCAAACACAATAGTATAATAAAATGACACTTTTTGCCATTTTTTTTTCTTTCCCCAGGAGCCAGGGGGTGGGGTAGGGCTTAAGTAGATCTGGGCATTCAGCCCAAAGCATTTAAGCACTTAAAATGTAACAAAGCTGAATCAACAAACCAGCCCAGTGCTTGCCTGAAGGAAACCATTGAGAAAACTCAAGATAACCCATAGGAAAAATCCCTGCCTTGCCCTTAAAGGGATTATCCACAAAAGAATAGAAATCACAGAGTCACAGGAACTCTCTGCCTTGCCCTTGAGAGGGTTATCTCCCAAAAGTAGAAACTGGACAAAAGAAGTACCTCTTAAGGCAGTCTTCAAATCTTTCGTAGTTGCCTTCTCCCAGGTGGAAGGAACCTGGTAAAAAATATTAGAAGCTTTTTTTTTTCAGCCCTAACAAGGTGCTAATGAGTGAAGCGATCTTCCCTGCTTTGCCTGAAATGGAGCTTCACTCGTTAGCACCTCATTAGGGCTGGAAAAAAAGATTCCAATAAGCTACATTTGGAGTATAAGACGCACCCAAATTTCCACCCTCTTTTAGGTGGGGGGAAGGTGCATCTTATACTCCAAAAAATACAGTAAGTCTTTATTTTCAGGGAAATACTGCACTAAATGCATCCATCTGGTTTACGATCTTAACTGGGTCTTATTTTTGGGAGAGAGCTTATATTATGAGCACCCTGAAAAATCATGCCAGGGCTTATTTTCCAGTTGGGTCTTATTTTGGAGGGAAAGAGGGTATTAACTTTCTGTCACTTGAGCGAGCCAAGCGTCTTTGCATACGTTTAAGTGAACGAATGGTCCCAAAAAAAGCAAAAAAAGAAAGATAAATCACATTTTGCTGTTTTTACTAGGCAGGTCCAGAATGTTCTCAGTGTGAAGAAGGATGCTCCAAGCCACGACCAGCTGGTTGCTTTCATGCGTGCCCTCTGCCGTGCCATCCTGGGGAATGTCCAGCATGTGCCCAAATGATCCGAATAAAATGTCACTGCAAACTGACAAGCCTCTACATTGAATGCATGTATGCAATTGAACAATCTTTCTTTGCTTCCTTCAACAATAGCTTGAGCTATTTTTATTCACTTTTCACGTGATCCGACAAATGCGCGCTCGACAAAAGCGCGCCGACGAAACCGCGGCGAGAAAACCGCAACGTCATAAACGCGCCCACAACAACGCGTCGACAAAAGCGCTATCATTTTTGGGCCTGCTAGGCTAGTGGTCAGTTTATCCTAATTATCGGGCTAGTTTGAATCAAAGCACTTTAACCAAATTTAACCTGAGATACAGTGTGATTTCAGGTGTTGCCTTGTAAAACATCTTCATTTTATTCTCATGAGATGATCACTTCATCTGATATTAAATCCCTTGACCGGGCTTTATTTAATTGTTCAAACTCAAATCTCCTTTTTTTTAAAATCCTCACCTGTTTTTTGTTTTTTTTTGGTCTGCTTTCTCAGTTCAACATCGATACGTGCATAGAAAATAAGACAGTGAATAACTTGACTTGCTGTTTATTTTGTCTCTTTTTTTTATAAATGACCATTGATTTCTATTTCTTCAGAAAAATCACTAATGCTGATGCAGAAGAAAAAGAAGAGCTGTGTTCATGCAAAAACCAGTGCCCCAAGGAGGTAAACCTGTTCTGACCCAGCCTTAGCAGAAACAGACTCCTATCCCAGAAAAAAAAACCTTTTTATTTATCTCCTGTGAATTAATGGCATTCACACACCGAAAAGTCCAGGCAATAGTCCTTCAAAGAGTTAACTGCAGTAGCAGACCTTATCAGTTCTTTGCGATAATTGCCAGGCCTCAGCTCCCAGCCACAAAGCTATAAATTAAGTTCTGGCAACATAATGAGCAAAATCTTCAGAAATACGAACTGTTGTCTCCTATGACCACCACTCCCCTTTCCTTCTATTTATTCCCCAGCCAGGGAGGGGGCCATTCAGCATCTAGGTGTGCCTTGCTTCCTGAGTCGACTCCTTGTCCTCGGTTGTTCTCCTCTCCTAACTGCTCTGCACATATGTGCATCTGGAACAGGCCCCAGCTGTTCTTCCTTTTCACTCATATCAGCCTCCAAAGGCAGCTGCCTCTCTGGTGGCTGGGAAATGTTGGACGGCCCTCGCCCTATCTCTGCGTCCGACGCAGAACAGCCATCATAGCCTTCCCCAGACTCCAGAACTGGCCCAACTTCCTCCCCAATCTCCTCGTTGTCCAAGTCTGTTGCCAGCTCTGCTGGCAGCTGATGGGCCATAACAAATCCTAAAAAAAAAAAACCATTTGGAACTATTGATGGCAGTACAGTAATGTAGCATTGGAAATTGATAAGTAACACCATGGCAGATTTCAAAAGTGATCCTTAAAACATTTACGCTCACCGGCAAATGCATTCAATGACTTTAACAATGGGGAATAAGAATCTGTGGGTTGATTAGTAAATTCTGAAGTAACATTTAACATCTGGTGACTACATGGATGGATCTACATTGTTGTCTTAGTATTAGCCTGGAAAGAGTTTTGCATTAAAAATGAATTGTATAGAAGATTTCTTAGCATCCTTGGCTCAAAGTACAAGGAATTTAAGTATAATAGCCAGCAAATGCCAGTAATCAAAACCGATGCTTCCTGCCAGGTGCTTATATTTTTCTCTGACGTTACAGCTACCTTGTGGCCATCGATGTAAAGAGATATGTCACCAAGGGGAGTGTTGTCAGAATTGCAATCAGAAAGTTAAGATCCGTTGTCCTTGTAAGAGACTCAAAAAGGTAAGCTATATATTACTGAGGTAAACTATATCATAAAAAAAGGTTATTGAAGCGGGTCCGGAGACTAATGGGTAGCCAGTGCAGCTCGCGGAGGATAGGTGTGACGTGGGTGTACCTAGGTGCACCCACAATCG